ACATCAGATTGGAAGGCAGAATTTTTTTTGCAGTCCACAGGTTAGTTAAATTTGGTCCAACTTTGAGCAGGGGATTGGACTAGATGACCACCTGATGTCTTTTTCAATTCTAATCTCCTATGATTCTATGAAACAAGTAGTGGTAACTAAGGAAATCATAGGTTTTACATGTAGGTTTTACATGTTTCAATCCCAGCTACAACATTTGTGAAATTAGGGTATCACAAAATAATGTAGTCTCACAAATATCAATTACATAATTTCATGCTTTTTGGAACATCTTTTATAATTTTTTAGTTTGAATGAGGCAGATTATTAATTCTTTGATTCAATTAGATCATTTAATAAAATGGGAACAAGTAATGTATTGCAATCAGTTATGCAAAATGACTTACTAATGCACTACAGTGGGTCCTCGTCATAGAATTACTCAGGTGCGGGGGAAAGTTCATCACAATATGATTTCTTGATGTACCTACTCTTTCAGTTCAGATGATAAAGAGTTTGAAGCTCAATAACTTTTGTCTCTCTCGGGACAATAAAACACTTTAAGACATTAAATTGCATTGGTGTGAATCTCACATCCTTTAGCCAGCAGCACATGAAAAACTAGAAAGCAAAACTCATCACAAACATAGGAACATAGCATAAGAACAACTATACTGAATCAGACCAAAGGTCCATCTAACCCAGTGTCCTGCCAATGCCACATGCTCCAGAGGGAGTGAACAGAACAGGTAATCATCAAAGGCACATCTACAGTGCAGGACAAAAGCCGAATTAACATACACAACTTCAGCTACATCAATTGCGTAGCTGAAGTTGAAATAACTTAATTCAACTTTTGGCACAGTCTACACAGCAGGAAGTCAAAGGAAGAACACTCTTCCTTCAACTTCCCTTACTCATGTAATGAGGGTTACATGAGTCAGAGTAAGAAGTTCTCCAGTTCTACATTATTTCACAATAATGGCTTGCTGTGTAGACACGCACTATGTTATTTTGAAATCATGTCCTAACACTGCAGTGTAGACATATGCCAAGTGATCCTTCTTCTGTTACTAATTTTTTCCAGCCTCTGACAAACAGAGGCTAAGGGCACCAATCCTACCCATCCTGGCTAATAAGTATTGATGGACCTAACCTTCATGAATTTATCCAGCTCTTTTTTGAACCTGTTCAAATCCTGGTCTTCACAAGATCCTCTGGCAAAGAGTGCCACAGGTTGTACACTGCATGAAGAAAGACTTCCTTTTGTTTCTTTTAAACCTGCTACCTATTAATTTCATGTGGTGACCCCTAGTGCTTATGTTATGGGACCAAGTAAATATCATACCTGTCATGATGTTACAGTCCTATCATATCCCCTCCCTCCCAGACTCCTCTTTTCCAAGATGCAAAGGCCCAGTCTTTTTAATCTCTCATATGGCACCCATTCCAAAACCCTAATAATTTCTTTGCCCTTTTCTGAATCTTTGAGATGAGGCAATCATATCTTTATGCAATATTAAATATGTGGGCGTACCATGGACTTAGAGGCAATAAGATATTCTCTGTCTTATTCTCTATCTTTGATTCCGGTAAATGGGAGCAGTAGAGAAAGCCTCCAGGTGAGAGGTTTCCTGTGCTACCATTTCTCCAGCCAGAGGACAGGGAAGCAGCAGCATGCAGAGCCGCTTCCTGCCCCTGTGAACTGGATCCAATCTGCAAGACTCACCAACCCCTGCAGCAGGAAACCTCATGGGGCTGTAATGCCAGTGCAGGCCCTCAACTGCGGGGGTGGGGAAAGCCCTGAGCCTGAGGCCAACTTGCACTTTGAGAATCACTGGTTTTAGTTTAACTGAGTCAGGTTTAAACTAAACTAGGGTTTTGAACAAGTTTAACTAACTACATTTAGAATCCTACTTTGATTAAATTGGTGCAATTTTTACAAGGCCTCCTCTACATAAGACTGAAAGATGAAGTTACAGCAACTTAAGATCCACTCACACATTTGACTGCGGTCCACATCTGAGACCTTCGATAAAGTGCTCCAGCAAAACTAAGGAAAACCACTTAACAATGCTAGTATTTCTAATATAAAAAAAATACTAACACACACTTTGTTTATACACAATTGATCAGAGTGTCAAACCCTTTTTACCTTTGTGGGTCACCTTTAGTGACTCCAATTATCACACATTACCTGTTGCTAATGACAAGAGCAGCATTTAACACTCTTGTTAACAAAGAATGCAGCACTATCTTGAAGGATACTTCAAGAATCAGTTAAATAAATTAAGCTTAAATCATACCGGGCTCAATGCTGCACTGTGGCCCTAACCCAGTTAGGCACTTAAGCATGATGCTTTCTTGCATCAGGGCCAGAATGCTCCACATTCTCTGTGCACCACTGAGCCCATAAAAAGGACTAGTTGGTCGTGAACTAACATGCAGTATTCTTACTTCAGTGTGATTTTACTATTCTTTAGAGGAAACTATTAATGGATTCCTACAAAGAGGTTCAGCTAATACAGCCCTGAGCCCCTGAACTGTGGCTGCTGATTTGAATGAAAATCTCATTTAAAATTGATAGGAATGTTTTACTTTTCTAGCACTTTCTGCATAAAATGGGTGCATTTCCAGTGCTTCACATGTTCTCATTTTGTCACTAGTTTCTTGCTTTTTAAGTTTGTTTTGTTAATTCATTTCCCCTTGGTATCTAAAGCCTTTTAAGGCTCTATGCAATTTTATTTTAGCATGTCTCTCAGTTTGTCTCCTTCCATTAGCTAAGGCATGGAGAATATGCTCTGGTCTTTCCTTAACATGTTCCCCCTCCCCCCTCACAAACATGGTCTTTTCTTCATAATAACTTTATATTTACAACCATTTCTCTCTTCCTGAGACAAATGGCCTTGTTTTGTCTTTTAAATTCTCTCTCAATACTTTCCATGCTTCCCGTCCCCGTCCCCCCCCTCACAAACATGGTCTTTTCTTTATAATAACTTTATATTTACAACCATTTCTCTCTTCCTGAGACAAATGGCCTTGTTTTGTCTTTTAAATTCTCTCTCAATACTTTTACATTAGTTTTCGCTATATAATCTCAATTTTGCCACCCTTTCCTGCTCTTGCAATGGATTATGTAAAAAATAAATTCAAACAAATAAAAAAAGATAAATATAAAAATAATTACATGATCTAAAATGTCTTGACTAATCTTAAGAGGAGCCCTTTATTTCCTCTCCATTTCACTCCTGGTCCAAGTAATCTCTGTAGGCCTGGGAAAAATACGGCCATATTTTATTTGTCGATCTATGCTATTTGCTTTTAAATGTGTTAATTTTCAAACACCTTTAAAATAATAGTGGAAGGCATGACATTTCTACACATAAGGAACAAAATACGTGCATCCAGATCAGTTCTCCCTTACCGATCTAAATTACCAAAGAAAGTGAAAATTCTGCAACTGTTGTGTTAATGAGCACTCTTGATGCAACACTCTGTCTTAACAGTTTACTTAACTTTTTATTAGTTACTTCAGTAACAGCTGACTCCCTCCTCCCTGCCCCCCTCCATACCAATCCTGCGCAACCACTGGTTTCCAAGAAGAATTTTAAATTGAAGTCAAACTCATAAGAAAAATGTGTGTGTACAGGGCCTCATTTATGCAGCAGCTGACGGAGTCTTAAACAACAAACTTGTCCTTGCGATGCCCCTGTGAGCTACAGAGATTAAGCTGGGCGCTAAACCAGACCAGAGCTTAATGCTCTTAACTCATATTGAAAAGGTTATGGGAGTTAGAAACCTGTCATTTATATAATTTAAAATGCAATGAGTAGGGGGGATGTGTATGTTTAACCCTTACTGGGTGATGCTTACCAGTTACAGTTGGGGCCATAGCAGCCCCCTGTGCAGTGCAAGCCGGGATGCTCCAGCCCGTCCAGAACAGCGCCTGCCCCTAGTAGGTGGGCTGCTCCAGCCCGCCCCTGTTTAAGTGGTTAACCGGTTAAACAGCAAGTTTATTCAGTTAACTGATTAAGCTTGCAGAGCTTAACATTTCCCAACCAGCCAGCCAACCTGCCTACCCATGTGCTTGTGTGAATAACTGAGCCAAGGAGAGGGGGCGTGGTTCTTGGCTGCCTGTTATTCAAACAGGCAGCTCCCATTGGCCAGTTTCTGGCTAGAAACTGGCCAATGGGATTGCACTGAGGGTGGGGGCAGCTCCTGAAGCTTTCCCCCTTCCCCTCCAGTTTTGAAACAAATGGGTCCAGCAGCTGCATTTCTGAGCCATGCATGGGGCTGCAGTGCAAGCAGTGGAGCCTGCCTGGGGCTCCCTACTGCCTCTGCAGGCTGCATTTTCAGCTACAAATTGTAGTTGTGCAAGTGTGCTAAGGGGACTATGGGGAATAGGAATGAAGAGTATTTCATGGCACTAGACTAAGTTAATATTAATGTAGAATTTGGCCTCACTGTCATGCAGGGTATGTAATATCCTGGTTATACTTCAAGTTGTTGGTCTTATTAAACACTTGGCTTAGGTACTGTGAAAAATCAAATTTTTTTTTATTGAAAATAAACTAGCAGAGGTGTTTATAGACCAGATGAGTGGTATTTTTTTTTTTTTATTGAAAATAAACAAGCAGAGGTGTTTATAGACCAGATGAGTGGTATTATGGGGGACACTTTCCTCCGTGCACTCCTATCCTAACAAGAATTCAATGGCAAAAACTACATTAATGTGGAGTTAAGATTATATGGAGTTATGCAGAATGCTGAACTGAGCAAAACTCAAACTTCTGAAAATCAGGAAATGCACTATGAAGGTTGCCTATATTCCATAACTTGCCTTCTTTCAGCAATGCCCCAATATACTGTATTGACATACATAACTTTATTCTGCCAATCCTAAAGTTACTGAAATGTACAAGCTATTCACCTCCTTTTACAACCATTCACTTTCCCCCACAGGATTCCATGTAACACTAGAAACACAAACAAAAAATCCAGGACTACATTAATACAAACTCGGAATCTTTTAATTCATGCCAACAGCATCCATATGGGGAAGTTAGAACACAGCAATTCCGTGCACACTGCTATTCATACTCCTGTACTCTGAACTGTAGGGCAGTATAGACTAGCCACCAGTCATTAGTACCTCTAACTCAGTTTTACACAACCAAGGACAGCAGAAGAAAATCAAGTGGGACTGTAACTGGAGAAGCCCTCAGCTGAATGATCCTTATTTTGGATCAGGAATGCTATCTCTGAGCTCCTGTGAGGCACAACAAATTACAAAGAAATTGGATTAGCTGTTCAGAGGTTAGAGAACTTACAAGAATAGAGCTTGAAAGCAGATAAAATAGTAGGAATGGAAACTCTCTAGTCTATCTGTATCGGGGCACACATTGTGTAAAACTATATATTTTCTTGAATACCATTCTGGTTCCCCAAAAAATTCAGTAAGTCTGTTGGATAAAACTTGACAGACTATTTTTATCAATAACTCATCAATCATTTGATCACTAAGCTTGGGCAAAAACCCCATCAAGAAACCTTTTTAAAGACCTCTATTTTCTGGAGCGTATCTCTCTCAGAATCATGGCTCAAACAACTCCCAGTTTGGGTCACTAATCCTATTTTGTACCCTTCTAACACACATCTAATTAAAAAAAATCCAACTAAGCATGTCAATTTTAGAGATCATAGAAAGAGCAACCTTTAAAATAGATGTAATGGTGCAACCTATTCTAAAAAGAAAGAATTTAGATATGCAAATGAAAGAGTAAATTTTATTGATTGATGGAAAACTAATTATGGCATTAACAACAACATTAATGTCTTAACTCTGCTAGAATAGTTCTCTACTTTTTTCTTTAAACTAACAGAAAACGCAACAAATTAACTATTTAGAGTGTCAAACTAGTAACTGTTAGCTTCTTTCAAAAAACTGCATAGCTTTGCAGTGTACAACAAATATATACATTTCTGCAAAACCCTGAAGAAAGAGATTTGACATTTCTGCTTTCAACTCCATGGCAAGTGTAATCACCTGCACTGGTCAGATTCTGAGTTTCTCTTCCCTTTTCTCCCACCCTGTAGAGGAAAAGTAAAATGGTAAACTAAAGATACATTGACATTTAATATTTTAATAAGGTACACATAAAGGTATAAAGACATGCACGTCAGTTAAGTCAATGATTTTTGGATAATTTAAATCTTGAACTGTGTAACATTTTACATACACAATTGAAGCAATCTGAGCAACAGCAATTTTGTACAGCAAGAATGTTACTGTATAAAATAAATGAAGATAGCTCTTGCCTCTGGGAGCTCACAAATGAAGAGAAAGATTGAGATAGCGTATCTAGTCCAAGCAAAGATTTTTAAAAACACTTCTGACAATTATTTCAAGGCTTTGCAGATTGGCATGATTTTGCACAAAAGTGGCAATGAACAAGGCTTTGCAGATATTAGGGCTGTGTCTACATTGGCATGATCTTGCGCAAAAGTGACTGCTTTTGCACAAAAACTTGCTGACTGTCTACACTGGCAGAAAACATGCTGCCTGTCTACAATGGCAGGGAGTTCTTGCGCAAGAACATTGATGTTCTAATGTGTGAAATCAGTGCTTCTTGTGCAAGAACTATGATGCTCCCGCTCAGGAATAAGCCCTCTTGTGCAACTGTTCTTGCACAAGAGGCCAGTGTAGACAGGCAACATGAATTTCTTGCGTAAGAAAGCTCGATGGCTAAAATGGCACATGCAAAAGCACATGCCAGTGTAGACGCTCTCTTGCACAAATACTTTAACGCACAAACTCTTGCGTTAAAAGTATTTGCGCAAAATCTTGCCAATGTAGACTTAGCCAATGTGTTTTAAGGCAATACTCAAATTAAAAGGTGCTGTGTAGTGTGGGGCACAGGTTACTGCTGGTGTGAACTAGAGCAAATGGTGGAGTCTCTAAATTAGTCTTTAAAACAAGAATTGAGGACTTCGGTAACTTAGCTAGACATTATTAGCTTATTATATGAGCAGCTGGGTGAAATTATCTGGCCTACAGTGTAAAAAAGGTCAGAGGATCATGATGCTCTCTTGTGGCTATAAAGTCTATGAATCTTTCTATGCACAAAAGATGAGCAGGAGCTCATGCAGGTGAGGGTGGGCATGGAAGACAGCGCAAAGTCAAAAAGGGGGAAAAGGGGGCCTTTTGATAGAGAATCTAAGAGAATTACAGAATTTTTATTTTATTAACTGTGACCTGTCCATGACTTTTAGTAAAAATAACTGACAAAAATCTTAACCTCTCCTATAACTGAAGCAATATTTTCCTTCAGCATTATTTAATGTGTTCCAAAGGAAATAGTTACTGTATAAAAATAAACATAGCTTATTACTATGAAATCAAATAATTTCACTCATTTTAAGGTGCTCATAACTAAACCAAATATAAAAGCATACACGTTTCAAAATCCAGCTCACATGAAAACAGTTTCAAATATTTTTTCATGTCATACTTCTCTAACAAAAATTGCTCTAGTTAACCACGTAAAAAAGACCACATTGAAAAAACAGAGATCAATAAATGAACTTTTCTATATATGAAAAGCAATCATGAAAATCTATTTAATGTATGTAATTTGAAAGGTTTGCCACAGGTGGGAGAAAAAAACAATTATTAAATCAATGAAGACTTGCACTTGGCTTGAGGTTATCTGTCAGATAATAATACAGCAAATCAAATTTAGTCTAGAGCAGTGTTTCACAGCCAGTGGTATGAGTACCCTTAGGGCTACTCTCAAATCAAATTTAGTCTAGAGCAGCGTTTCACAGCCAATGGTATGAGTACCCTTAGGGCTACTCAAGAGAAATCTGGAGGGTATGGAAAAAACTGAAATTTGGAGAAAACTGACTTTTTTTTTTTTTTTTTAAAGAGCGCTTTATTATTTTTGTTCTTTTTATACCAAAAATTTCAACACCCGCCCGGCTATGATTAAGTTGTTTAAGCAAATGTGTTGCAATGGTAGAAAAAAAATGTATGTGTCTGACAACTGTAGCTACTGGTGATACTCTCTATTTTTTTTTTAATATAAAGAGTACTTTTTTTGGAAATGGGTACTTTATTAAAAAAAAAGGTTAAGAAACTTATCTAGAGCAGTGATCACCAACCAGTCGATTGCAATCAACTGGTCGATCATGATCTAGTTGCAATCAACTGGTCGATCATGGAGGCACTGCCAGTCGATCTCAATGCACTGTTCCAGGTCCCCCATTGTTCGCCTGCACATGTAATGAGGAGCCTGCGCTGGTGCTACAGACTCCCACACCTTGCAAAATTGGAGCTAAAGTTGGCTTTCTGTGGCAGCGGCGGAGGGGAAGGGGGGAAGAGGGGGGAAAAGTCCCGTGGCCTGCTCCTGACCTCCCCAGAGTTTGCATGCTTTCTTGTCTTGCCTTCCTTCCCCTGTGCACCAGAGACACAGGGTTGGCCAACGGTGGGGTTCCCACCCCTACTTCCCACCCCCCTCTCTAGTCCACTGGGGGAGGGACAGAGGAAGGAAGGAGGGGTTGTTGAGATGGCAGCTGGATTTCTTAAAGAAGCCACATGTACGCTTCTTCCAGCAGACCCCCCCAGGCACCAGCCAAGCTGCGCCTGCGCCCACCCTCTCCCCCCGGCCAAGCACCCACCAGCACACTGCTCCTTCCCCTTCTCTCCCGGCCAGAAACCTGCCAGCATACTGCTCCTGCCTCCTCTCCCTGGCCAGGCAACCACCAGCACTCTGCTCCTGCCCCTAAACAGACACCCACCAGCACCCTGCTCCTATCCCCTCCCTACTTGCCAGACACTTACCCCCAACTTGCTCTTATACCCCTACTTCCCACCCCCCTCTCTAGTCCACTCACTGGCAGTCCTGCACACTGGATCCCTTATTTTTGGCCCCACCCCAGAACCCGGGGGCCCCACAAAATCTACTAACCCTGGAACCCCAGAAGAGTTAATCTAGCCTGAGGCCTTGAACCTCAGTCCTACCTACTTTCCCCACGCAACCACCATGGGGGCTGGAATGCCAGGGGAGTGAGGTGTTTCTGTTGGGGCCACATCAATGAGGCTTAGGGGAGTTGTTGGAGGGTGGAGTTTATATATTTTTGCATCTCACTTGTGGGGTCCCAGACTGATTTTTCTGTGAGTCAGTGGCGCCCAGACCCAAAAAATGTTCCTGTCCCTCCCATAAATAAAGACAATGTTTTGTGTTGGACATAATATTTTATTTAAAAACGAAGCCTGGCCAACAAGCCCCCAATTGGGACCAAGCTCCTATCTGGCCACAGCATCAAAATACCCCTGGCATCCCCAACCCTGAGCACATCATACACCTGAACCCCCTCCCCCGAGCTCCCCACATCTCCAAACTCATGCACCTCCACATTCCCAGTCTTGTGCCACAACATTCTTGCATCACCCACAAACCTGTGCCCTGAGCTCATCACATCTCCAGCCCTCCTGCAATGAGCCTCTCATACATTCCCAACCCAAACTCCTGCACCCAGACATCCACAAGTCCTTCCCCTCCACGTGTCTGCCCTTCTGCTTTATTCCCACAATCCCCTAACCTCTAACCCTCCACCTGACCCCAACACTCTTCTGCCCAGAGCCCCCTCCCTGAGCCAGCATCTCTTTCTCCTCCTGATTCCAAATCCCCTCCCAGAGCTTGCAACTTTCACTCCTTCCCACCCACAAATCCCTCATTCCCACCCCAGAGCCCGCACCTCTTGTCTCAACCCAGTGAGAGTTAGTATAAGGGCTGGGGACAGCAAGTGATTGAGAGGAGGGGAATGGAGAAGATGGGGCCCATCTTGGCTTGCCCTGACATTTAAAAAATGATCTTGGTTATAAAAAGGTTGGAGACCACTGGTCTAGAAATAGTCTCATATCAAAATGTTGAGTATATAGAAGAAACAAAGGTGTGCAATCCTGCTTACTTGTATAAGTCAAGTATATTTTGAGGCACAGAATGGAAGACTAAATCCATTCTACCATCCAAATAAGTGTGTTACTATGCTCCAGTTTTGTTACTAATTTTCTAAAAGTTCCATTCTATTTTTTTTTAATTGCCTATCTACCAGTAATTTTAGTAACTACACAAGCAATTACTCAAAAGTCAAGATATCAATGTTTCCATATGCCACTAATATTGCACTCGGCATTGGTGCATTTATTTCTAGAAACAATATAAAAATACCTGATATTTTGTTAGTTCTGCCTGTAATAGTTTCACTTTAGATCTTTCTTGTTCTAATGCAGCATGAAGTGTAGTCACCTACAAAAAAGTTTTACAAGTGTTACAGAATTATCTTAATCTCCCAACAGACACAGACACACACAGAAACTTACTTGGAAGAAAACAAATATTGAGTTTATTCTAGAAACTTATTCTCAAATTGATCAAAATTTGAGTTACCACACACACAGCACAAATAGTATTCCCTAAGTCTTTAGTAGTTTCCTAATAACCTTTTATGTGTTTACCTGAAAAATGTGATATGAAAAGTGACAGTTCTCTTTCACAATTTAGCCACTGCATTAAAAATATGGTGTGCTCCCTAAACTATTGCTTAGTAATACTTATTTAAAGGGCTAAATAGTAACTACATTTAACACTTTGCCTTGGAAATCTTCTGACTCTTCTGCAGTAGAACTCTCTAAATGCACAAACGCCACTTGGATCTTACATATTCTATGCCCATTAACACAAAGAATCCAGACAGAGGGAAATTCTGCACTTATTTCCGTGCTTATATTCACTTTCACTTTGCTCTTTGCCTTCGTATACTATTTTAAAAATATCCACAAGCTTTTATATTTATTACCTGTAAGGTCAACTCATTCTTGATACTTTGAGATTCATCAACCTGTAGAAGTATTTCTGCTTTGTCTTTCACTTAAAAACAAAACAAGAATATTAGATTCTATCTTTACAATTCTTTATATATAAATAAAAATAAAACAGTAGTTGGGGCATTGCTGGATCCCTTTTTTCCCTTTGTTTGCTACCCTTAGTATATTTTCTCTGCTATCACTGAGGGCAGGATTGAACACAGAGATTGCTGGGAGCCAACAAGACGTTACTATTTCCAGTAGCAACAACTTAGGAATATAGAAAGCTTGTTTGCTACCCTTAGTATATTTCCTCTGCTATCACTGAGGGCAGGATTAAACCCAGAGATTGCTGGGAGCCAACAGGACGTTACTATTTCTAGTAGCAACAACTTAGGAATATAGAAAGCTTTTTAGGTCTTTTAGGAAACTTTCATTGCCTATACTGGTATGGGATCCCACAGACTTCAGAAAGACTCACTATGGACACAAGTCCAACTACACGATGGATATGGATAGAACTTCAGATTGTAAACTTGCCAAAGCCATGCCTTACACAATGTGAAAACCATGGCTAAAATCTTAAGGTGTGCATATGTGGTTACTTTCTTTGAAGTTGTAAATAATTTAAAATAGGGCTATCATTATAAACCTTTATTTTACATGTGCACATTGGGATTTTCAAGGCTCAATTCTACCACATTCAAGCTAGTTTTCACCAAAAACACACAAAAAAATTCCTCGGAAAGTGTTCCATCAAATTAATCTTTCTAGTCTCAGCTATTGTAGTAAAATATCTAGTAAAAGAGGTAACAGGATTATTTTATAATATGAAATTGTTCCCACACTCCTCCAAATCTGAACAAACAAATTTTCCCTTAAAATATTTCACCCTGACCCAGATACCAGCTTGAAAGAACTCATGATTTTCTGAAAATTTCTGACTATGAACTGGGAGTTGAAATGGAAATACTTGGGCAACATTAACTATAGTATCACTTAGTGGGCCCGTTATAGTGCAGCATCCCCAATACTGATAAAATTACAAAGTTTCTTCTGAAAGTTAGCCTCCTCTCTCACATTGTAAAATAGTACGTGATGCACTATACATACTGCACATGATGTCATGGAACCAACTTGAACATGCATGATGGCACAGTACTAAAAAGTCTAACAATCACAATAGGAAAATAAGGATCATAGTAAGAGGTTGCTTATAAAGAAAATTTTAGAAATCAAGTACAGGGCTTTCTACAGAATTGCAGTCAATATTATTTTACCAAAAAAATCTGTCAGCATTTATAACACACAGAATTTGACTGGTCACAAATGTTCATTTTGAAATAAATCAATCTTCTACAGTTATCTTTATAACAGCTTAAATATAGTCCATTTACTAGCAACCATGAATAAAGAATAGTGCATGGATTGCAAATATATAAATGACTTCCTTGTATATCAATTAATTCTAACAATTTTCATTCAATATGGCAGGTGGTTGATGTCATTAGCAAGATAAAAATCCTCACGTATTCATAGACGCCTTTCATTTGTCATTGTAAATTTAAGTTTCAATTCATAAAATTTAAATAATTGGTGGAACATCTACTGCATGCTCCAAATTACTGAAATAGTAACTAATGAAACTGAACACTAGTCACTCAGGAGGAAATGCATGATCAGAAAGTCCTAGTAAAAGAAATTGTCAGATTAAATTACCACTATTACAATATACCAGTTGCCACTCTTTACTCTTATCAATTTATCTTAAAAAAAAAAAATTGCAAAATTAAGTAATTTTCAGAGAAAATGTTTTACACTTCAAAATTTACATCTTAGAGAATAAACAGCTTTACTTACTTTCACCTTCCTGTAGCATTTTCAACAGCTGTGCATTTCTTGCTTTTACTTCTTTATACTTCCCCTAATATTAAGAGATTTAAATAATATCACATATTACTATACTACAAAAGGGACATTCTTTAAATTGGTGTTTTATTTTTAAACATCACCTCTGAAAGTCATGATTTTCCTGGAAATTAAAGAAACTCAAGGGATCTAGGCTCATCTATTTAAATATATGAGAGTCAAAAACAATATAGAAGAGGTAATTTAATCCAATGAAGAGACTAAAGTCAAAGGAGCTCAGCCACGCACTGGACTGGCACTACAGCATATTCATAATCAACTACAAATGGTGTGAATGAAGTAGTCAGAAAACAAGAACTGCAAAACTAGGGCCAGGTGTACATTGGGGGAGAATATTGATTTAAGAAACACAACTCAAGCTATGAGAATAGCTTAGCTGGAGTTGATGTACCTTGAGTTAAATTTCCACAGCATCATTGAGGGAGGGTCAATAGGAGAAACTCTTCTGTCAACTTCCCTTACTCCTGCGACCCTGTGGAGTACCAGGATGGACGGGGGTACCATAAGCAGTCAATTTAGCAGATCCTTACTAGATCTGCCAAATTGAATGGCAGAAGATTGATCTCCAGATCTATCTCTGGGTAAGAACAGACAAGGTGTCAGAAACAGAACTTGCTGGAAGATTTTTAGCTCTCTGTCTGACAGAGGTTTTATAGGTTCTCTGAAAAAAAATGAAGGCTACATGAAAGAACAGTAATACCAAAAGAAACTACATATAATATATACTATAGTAGTAGCCAAATGGCAGTTAGAATTGAGTCCTCATTGCCTAAGGCTTAGGTGGTATACAAGAACACATGAGACATGTAGTCACTGCCCACAAAGACCTTATAGTCACAAATTCTTTTTTGGACTCTTCTTCAGTTTTTCTACTCAGAAAACTGATTTTACCGATTTCTCCTGTCCATCTGATGCCTGAATTGCCTCTCCTAAAGTAGCACTTTTTATGACTGCTGTTGCTCATACTAGCACATTAGTTTGTATATGTTACTTTACCGATTTCTCCTGTCCATCTCATGCCTGAATTGCCTCTCCTAAGTAGCACTTTTTATGACTGCTGGTGCTAATACTAGCACATTAGTTTGTATATGTTCTTAATTATAAACCTGTTTTTTATATTTTCCCTTTTCAATTCTCTTTCC